CTCCGGTCACCGCCACCCAGAGTGCCCTGGAGTTGCTCACTGGTGGGCGAGCGTGCAAGGGTGGACTCTGGAAGCCGAGCGAGCCTGTCCACCCTACTCACGCCACAACACACAAACACGCGGGAAACCGGAAGCGCCGTCCACAAGGTGTCTCCTCTCGGGAGCCCCAGCGGTGGGGGAGGACAGAGGCCTCAGGAAGAGCAGCTCGGGGCTCCGGCGTGACCTACAGACAGCTCGCTCCCTGCCGGCTCAGCGTCCCTGAGCCCTGTGCGTGCACATGTGTGTCACGTGTGTGCACACCTGCGTGTGCGCACTCACCTCTGCGGAGCGTGGCGCGGACGGCCTTACAGCACAAACCGCCTGGGTGCAGCCACGGCAGGCAGAGAGCATCCGGGTGCAAGGGAAATGGAAGTGATCGGGCCCAGCCCTTTGTTTCTCTCCCAAAGACCTTTTCCAGATACCGCAGGAGCTGGGAGGGGAACATGTCGCCCAGGGCCGGGGGTCCGGGGTCGGGCACTGTGGAGCCACGGGACCCTCCTAGGCTGGAAACCCTCTGCGTCTTGACTGGATTGTGTCAATAGCCTGGTTCTGGCTCGCACTGTGCTCCCCCTAGAAGCAACCTGGGGAGCCGCAGCAGGCCCTGTCGCTGCTCCCGCTGCACGCGCCCACGATTACCTGGACTCGGTTTCATGAAGCAAAAAAGAGGAAGGACAGACTGAGTGGGGAGGGAGGGCGCGCCGGGCACCGCAAAGGACTCAGCCACTGCCCACTTCTCCGTGTTTCCCCCCTGCATCCTCAGCGGTCACAAGAGAGAGCAGAATTGCACCCCCAAGACAACCCCGAAAAGGCGTCTGATATTCTAGGCTACACGGGTGGGCAGGACCGTGCATTGAAAATTGTACAATGTTCCCCAATTACAATCAGGTATGTGGAGATATCATGTGGCCCTATTCTGGGTTGCTTTGTTGCGCTTGCAGCTCCGGCGCAGGACAACGTCCGCGCTCCTAGTTACTTGTGATCAAATCGAGTTTTTCTCTCCCGAAGTAGCCACTTGCTGGCCATTCCAGGTAACAAGAGACTGTGCGCTCCCGCCCGCCCCTGCTCGTGGGGAGCCCCTGCTCCTGGGGATCGCACCCCATTCCCAGCAGCCTGCATCCCGCTGCGCTAATCTGCATGCACAGTCTCGCTCCCCCAACACCAAGGAAATGGGACGACCCCCCCATCTTGTCAAAACGCAGGGTGAAGAACCCCCTTTGGGAGAAAGCGTTCCTCCGCAGCCGCGACCGCTAAGTCCAGCGGGGTCCCCGTCACTCCACTTCTAAGCTCGGCTGTAGTAAGTAAAAAATGTCCAAACGCAACGCCGCCGGGATTCCCCAAAGCGCGGTGTGACGTCACTGCCCCACGCGTCCCCACGGTCCCTGCAGTGGCGTCGCTTTCCCGGTGCCGAGCCTGAGGGCTGGGAAGTCGGGGTAACTTGCAGCAGGGGGGCCAGTCAGGACAAGGAGCTGGTGTCCACACGCGGGGCCCAGAGGGAAGCCCACCCCCGGGGCGCACGGGGGCGAATCTGCTCACAGCGAAGCTAAAGGCTAGAAAGAGACGGGGCCCCAAACTGCTCCCCCCGCCCTGGGCTAGTCCCCTCAGATCAGAACAAATCACCCACCTCAGCAGCTTAAAACCACTCATGTTTGCATCCCACACCTCCCAGGTCCGAGGCACTGGATTTCAAGGCCAAGGTGCTGGGGGCCGCGACGACGCTCGCGGGCCCACCCCGGTGTCTGCAGGGGGCAGCTGGGATGGCAGGACCGAGGTCCCGTGGACTCGATGGCTCTCCGGGAGATGCCCTTAGCTCCCCGGGTGTCTCTCTGGTCCTTGCAAGTGGGTCCCCGACGCATCAGCAACTGTGCCTGGAGCACCCCCGCCCGCGCCCCCAGGCTCAGAATCTCCGAGTCCCCAGCTCCTCTGAAGTCCCAGGAACAAGCAGAGAAGGTTCTTTGCTTCGGGGCCCAGGTTGATGGTCCGGGGTCTGCTCTCCCTGCAACGGAAGCTCCATAACCATCATCACACCTGCACAGTCCCTTCCACCACGTCACCTGTCACGGGCTCTGGGCATCGGGGCCGAGACAGGAGCGCCGGGGCCGGGAGGGGACATTACTCCGCCGTCCACACCCCCCCAAGACGTGAGCACGCCATCCTCACATCTTCCCCCTACTCTTAGGAACCAGGAGCTACAGGAACACAATTTTATTGATGTTAGGAGGGAGTGTGTCAACCCCTTGGGGTGACAGCGAGGTCTAGGTTCCTGCCTGTGTTAATAAGCCAGGCTGCGGGTGGGAAACAACAGCCTGGTGAATTTCACAGACTCCCCCCCCTAGAATGAATCCCAGGAACTGGGACTTCCTGCCTCTGCTGAGCAAGCACCACATCAGCTGTTTACTCCTCTCCCCAATTCTGCAAAATAAATAAATAAGTGGGGTGTCTCATTTACAAACAATGCTTCTAACAGACTCCCGAGTCCCTCCAAACAATGAGCAGTGATTCATGTTCCCAAATGAGATGGAGTTTTACCATTTACTTTCCCCTCGTGATTCATTCACGGGAGAAGCCAGGCCCACCCACAGATCCAAAGCCCCACCTCTAGGGGAACACATCCCTGTTGTTAGGCAGCCCCCCCAAAAGGAAAATACTGTGGTTGGAAAGGGGGGGGTGGTCAGTTTCGCCTCAGGCAGAAACAGCCCAACCACCAATAGGACGGAACCTCCAGGCCCATCCAGGCCATCACACCCGCCACGCGAACCAGCGAAATTCCCCCGTGCAAACTCCAAGCCAAGTGGGGTCCTGGGGTGACTCTAGGCGCACATCCTCAGCTCCCCTTCTGCACCACATCTATAGGCCAGCCTGCTCCCCCACCCCCAGCCCTCAGGCACATAGGGCTCTAGATATTTAGGGTTCCTTGATGCTGAGCAAGTTGTCACCCACCCAGGTGAGCCGCCTCGCCTCCACCTGCACTTCCAGCAGAAGAGCCACGTTCCCCAGGACTTACAGGTACCTCCTGCCTCCTACTGCCTGGCAAAGCCTTCCAGGTACTTCTCTTTGGAAACTTCCCAACACTCAAGTTCTCTGAAAACCGAAGGATTAGCCAAAGGTATGATGTTGGAGTCACCTCCGTGAGTGCCAGAGAAGCTTCCAGAAGCTTATGACTTAAATGGGAAAAGGACCCAGTTATGCCCTTGCACTCCCTGGCGCCTGCTCAGCTGGGGGGAGACCCTGCTGTCTCCATCCGGGGACACACCTTCTGGCCAAGGCAAGTCACACTCAGGGGTCTCAGCCGCCGCGCACTCACTGTGGACACCACCCAGCTCACCCGAGCACCAAGGTGTCTTTAAATGGGGTCCCCACGAGTCCCTCCCCATCTCCTGGGGCACAGTGGGCTGTGAACTCCACAGCCAGTCCAGGTTCAATCCAGGACGAAGCATTTTCTAGTGGCGTGTGGGTGAACAATCTCCCTTCTTGGCCTCTGGAAAACGGGACAGGTGTCACCCCACCACCCGGGGCTGAGGGGTGGGTCCCGACCAGAGCTGGACCTGCTGGCTGCCCCCCAAAGGGCCGGCTGCCACCTGCCCCCATGCTCCCACCTCTCCAGCTCCTCCTCCACCTCTCCCTGCTGTTCCTCTGTCTCTCCCTAGCTGTGTCCTCCCATGCACGAAGGTCCCCAAGCCTGGACCCCCGCTGTCACCCCACCTCCAGCATCTTCACACGAGTCCCCACCCCAAACTCCCTGGCCCAGTCAGAGGGATGGGGATGGAGGCATCAGGTCAGGCCCGGGCTGGTCCGCCCAGACTCCTGTGCGCCCTGCAGGCAGCTTGCAAGCGGGAAGCAAGCGGCGGGCACGCCCCACCCTAGTGACTGCACCTGAGCCTCAGTTTCCGCCTCCCTAAAGGGAGGTGGGTAGCTTTGGGGGGCCTCTAGGCATATCCTGAAGCTTGAGGAACCCCAGCTCCAGGTGGGCCCACGGCGGGGCTAGGACTGTCCAGGGTGTTCCCATCGCCACTGTAGGCCGCTGGCACCCAAGGGACACCCAGCAGAGAAAAGCAACCGCAGACACAGAAGGAGGGTGCCCTGGGGGCCAGAGTCACCCAGGCTTCCCAAAGCAGAGGCCAGGACAGGGCTAGAGGCGGCAGGAGGGCGCCCCTGGAGCAGGCGGGGGGCAGGGGGGCGGCCACGGGGGCAGGACCCGGCCAGCCAGGAGGCCGGTTCACAGAGGCCTGACTCCCGCGGCGGGGGCCGGGACCCCCGGGCTGCGGAGGCTGGAAACCGCGGGGGGATGGGGGATCCGGGAGCAGCCACCGGGCTGGGGAGGCCAAGTCACCGGGCAGGGGCGCAGGCCCGGGCGGGTCGGGCTGCGACCCGGGGGGCGCACAGCGAGCCCGGCGGGGCCGAGGGTCTGTTTGTTTGGCCTTCGCGGCGCGCGGGGCTCTCTGGAATGTGTCCTGGGCCGAAATGTAAACTTGCAACCCGATCCCGGCTCCGCGCAGGAAGCGACAAAGCGCCGACGGTCCCGCCCTCGCGGGCCGGCGCCCCGGGCCGGAGCCTCTCCGGGCGCAGCCTCCCCGCGGGGAGGACCCGGGGCCGCCGCGCCCCGCCGCGGGCTGGAGCGGGGTCCCGGGCTCGGCCCCCCGCCCCCGGGAGCCGCCCCCCCGGCCGCGCAACTTTCCCCGACCGGCGGGCGCGCGCCAGACAATGACCGGCTGCCCGGCCCGGCCCGGCCCGCCCGCCGCGGCCGCGGAACCGACCCGCCCGCCCGCCCGCCCGCGGCGGGACCCCGGGGGAGCCACACCCCCGCCCGACGCCGCGCGCCCCGGCCCGACGCCCGCGCCCCGGCGCCGCCCGCTGCGCCCCGGCCCGGCGGGCACCGGCCCTCGGGGGGCGCGATCGGGCCCCGCCGGGGGGACGCGGCGCCCGGCCCCCCGCGCCCGGGAAGTTGGGGCGCGGCGCGCGCTCACCCACGCCGTATTTCTCCTCGCGCTTGGTGGGCACCCAGCGCGTCATGGTGCCGCCGCGAGGGCGCCGGGCCGGGCTCCGCGCTAGGCCGCCATCTTCGCTCCCGGCGCGCAGGGAGGAAAAGTTTGCGGCGGAGGCGGCGTCATGTGGGACGGGGCGGGCGGGGCCGGCGGGTGGGACAGGCCGGCGGCGGGAGGCGGGAGGCGGGCCGGGCCGGCCGCGCCCCGCGCCCCAGCGCCCCCCGCGGCCCCCGCGGCCCCCGCGCCCCTGGGCCCCGCGCCCCCCGCGCGCCCCGCGCCCCCTGCGGCCCCCCCGCGCCCCCCGGGCCCCACGGACACGCGGGCGCAGCGCCCCGGGCGCCCCGTCAACTCGCCGCGGAGTTTCCTCGAGTCCGCGGCCGCCCGGGGCGGATCACAGAGGAGGCGAGGGGGCGCCCTGGAAGGGAGGGGACCTGCAGACGTGGGGTACCGCGGGAGGCTAAGCCTTTTGCGCAGCCCGCGGGTGCACAGGTAGGGTGAGCCGCGCCCCGGGCACCGTATGCCCCAACTCGGGTTTCCCCTGGGGCAGAGTTCTGGAGCCGGCAAACCCCAGGTTCCCTGAGGAAGCCCCGGCGCGAGGTTCGTTCATCCCGTGGACACACGTCACCTGGGCAGCTCCCCGAGTCTGGGTGCGCCAGAGCGCACGACTCCGGCCACAGGGCGGGCAACAGGACGGACCCCAGGGATAGACAGGTTGACTCAGGGCGGGGGTGGACCAGCATATCCAGGGACAGGGCAGGGCGGGGTGCAGAGCTGGGGGGCGGGGGTGCTTTTCTGGGCCGCCAGCCCTCCTTGGCTGTGGAATGAACGCGGGAATCCAGAGAGGCTGGGAGGGAGAGGTAGGCCAGCCGCTGCTAAGGGCAGACCCCAGCCTCTGGGGCCAGCCCGGTGGGCCTCAGGTCTGGGGGCGCAGGAAGGGGGGAGAACGCTGAAAGGAAATCCCAGCCAGGCCAGTGGGCACCTGACCTGGAACTGGGGCTTCACCCCAGAGGTGAGTTCTTGCGCGTGTGTTTCCCAAGCCAGCAAGTCAGGGCATCTGGTTTTTCAAGGAAAAACTGAAAGACAAGACACACATCTCTTTAATTCTGCTTCTTTCCGAAGAGCATAGAAAGGTGAAAAGCAAGAGAAAGGGGGACGGGACACCATCAGAATGAAGGCCGGGCAGTGGGCTGTGAGTGGGCTGTGAGTGGGGTCCTCCACTCGTGCCCCCAGGATCCAGTGGCAGTGGCAGCAAGTCTGGGAGCCTTTGAGCTCCAAGGAGTGGGGGCAGCGCCCATGGGAGCCTTCTGGTGACTCCAAGGAGTGGGGGCAGCGCGGATGGGGGAGCTGGCAGGGGAGTGGACAGCAGGCCTGGAAGGACCCAGTGGATGTTCTGCTGTCCTGCCTTTGGGGCTGCCCTGACATCCCAGCAGCCCACCCAAATGCAGATGAAATGAACTCTCTGGGCTGCCCTCGGTGCTTCCAGCTTGGGCGGGGGAGGGACCCAGCTGTCCACCCCACCAAGGATGCAGAGCGGGCAGGCAGCAAACACAGAGTTGTGGAAAGTTACAGTTTCACTGACAAGGAATGTGATTCCCACACTGGACGGCTGGGCCCGTGTCACACACGGCCTCGGGCAGGCACTTAAAGCCTCTGGGACAATTAGAAGCCCAGTGTCTTGGGCCAGGACCTGCCCCATGACCTGGTGACTCTGCCCCAGGGCAGGAGAAGCAACTGATGGCCACTTCTGTGGCAAGTGACAGGTGGCCTGACCCCCCAGGCAGGGAGGCCTTCCCTGAGCAAACACTGTGGGCCTGGGGTTGAGGATGAGCAGAAACTAGCTATGGAATGGCTGCGGGGCAGCACGTGCCAAGGCCCTGGGGTGGGAAGAAACACACGTCCCTTGAGGACCTGAAAGCCCAGCAGGAACTACAGAAGTGGTCCCAATGAGCCTGCGGCGGAAGGGCCTTCGCGGTCCTGCATCCCATCTACTTACATATTCAGTGGGTCGGCTCGTCAGAGTGAAGGTAGAATTCTACAGTGAAAGCCTGGAAAACAAGCTTTGGGGATGCTCACCGCTTACGTGACCGATTTCAATTCTGCTTGTGTGGCTACACGTTGGGGGAGATGACGAGGGGGAGACCCGGGAGTCCCACAGGCCTGGGCGCCCTGGTCGGAGCTGTGAGGCCTTCCTCTTCCCTTTCTGGCCATCCTGCTGTTCCTGAGCCTTCGGGCTCTGCGTGCCTTCCTGCGTCTGAACTGGGCGTCCTACAAGGGCTGGCTTCCCCACCCGGCACTGCCTGCAGGTCCTCTGACAACCTCCAGGTCACAGTTTCCAGAATAGCCACCTTCATGCTGGCGAAGTCGACCCACTGAATACATGAATAAATGGGGTGCAGAAGCGTCTGTCTTTGTAACACCACCCTATCAGTAAACTTCTAAATCAGAAACTTAAAACTCCAGATGCCCCGTGGACTGCGCGCTTGAGACAGTGAGGTTTGGGTCTCATCGCAGTGTGCACCCGAGCTGGGCTGAGAAGCTTCACTCGTGGCCAGTCCTCACAGCTCGAGAAGGTCCGGCAGGGTTCCGAGGCTAACTCGGGCAGGCGTCTCGTCTTGCGGCTCTAGATCGAGTGCCTGACCCTGGCTCTTTGCCCTGTGGTTATAAGAGCTGGGGCCTGGCTGCATCTCCCATCCCGGGAGCCCAGGGTTGCGGTCACTTGGCATTTTTAACTCCGAGTCAAGAGCTGGGCCCCAGTTCTCGGCCAAGTGTACCTCCCGGCATTGGGTGGGGCGGGGTCCGCCCGCCCTGCAAGCGTGGCCAGCCTGGGAGCGCTGGACCTCCCAGCCCCAACCTCAGTGGCGTTCAGACCCCTCCCAAGAATCTTGAGGTGAGGCCATGAGAAGGCACCATCCACATTATAATTGTAAATTTAGAAATTTTTTTTTTTAATTTGTCCATGTTTTCAGTGCCAATTCAGGAAGTAGATTCAGCCAAGTCTTGCCTAGTGGCGCGAGCAGAAGGCACAGTGAGGATGGGGGGGTCCTGCTTGGGGGTGGCACAGATGAGCTGGGACAGGGGACAGGGCGTCTCCACTCTGTAAACAGGCTGGACTCAGCCACGGCCCCACAGGGGTGTCTGCGGGCTGCCCCCCAACCTGCTGGCCGGCCTTGGCCTCCTATTTGATGACCAAAAAATCATCCAGATGAGCCCTCACTCGCAGTCTGCAGGAAATAAGGGAGGTGAAGCCCAAGTGAAATGACACCCCATGAAGTATAGCAGGACGAAGTTAGAAGGGACACCCCGGGGGACACTGGTCTGGGGTCACCGATGAAGAGCAAGGACGGAGCAGGGGACATGCTGCACTGCCCAGCGCTTGAGCGGCGTGACCAGCACGGGCTCTGCAGCAAGGACAGGTGATGTTGTTAAGTTACTACCGATGCCGCTGGGTGTGACTCTCCAGTGTCAAACGTGTCCGCAGACGGGAGAGTTGCGGGCGGGCGGGCGGTAGGTGAATTCTCGATGTATTTTCATTACTTTAAAACACTAGAGCAAAATCCACAGGGAAGGCAAAGTGGTCCATGTAGGGGATTAGCCTGCGAGTGTTTCCTGGCTCCCCTTTTTTTATATATGTTTGTGATGCTCATAAAATAAAGTCACCGTGGGGGAGGGAAGGGCTGGGGAGGTAAAACCCAGCTTGAGCAGCGGCCTGCCTGGCTGGGCTGGGCTCCCTCCGGGCGCAGCTCAGCCTTCACCTAGAGATGAGGAAGGCGACCGGCCCCCCGGGTGCTGAGCTCCACCCGCTCCACAGAACTAATCTGGCTTTCCTGGAGGCTGCACCCCGGGCTGATGTGCCTTGTGGGCAAGTGTAACTGTGGCTATAAATGCAGACCAGTCCGTGCCTCATGCTCTGAGTGTTGTCATTTTGGGGGGTCCTTGGGGTCACTCTGAGAAAGGTTCCCCCAGAGCTCCCGTTCAGCGACACACAGCGAGTTTCCCCGGCGAATTTCTCCACGAGACAGAGACATTCGTTATATTTAAAGAACAGGCTTATTAGGAAAGGGACAGAAGAGTAAAGGACACTTGCGTAGACATCAGCGGGCAGGAGGAGCTGCCCCGGAAGGGACAGGTTTGCTGAGAGGCCCGCGTGGTTGCAGGCGGGCGGCCTTAACAGGTCACAGGCAGGCAGGAAGCTGCAGCCCTGCAGAGGAGAGAGTGGGTGAGAAGAAGCACCTGCACAGGCACAGGTGGGCAGTGGGATTGGTGCCCCAGCCAGGGCAGAGGCTGCCCTGAGAGAGTCCTCTTCAGTTTGGGGGGGGCCGCTCCTGGTGAGCCTTCGGGTTGGTTGCTAATTTTGGATGACTCTGTAGGATCTGAAAGGGACCAGAGATTCTACAATGGGCTCCATCTCCATCTTTACCTGTGGATGCGCCCTCGGATACCTGCTTGGATGTTATGCTTTGTGATCTAGGCGTCTGCGCCTGAGGATCAGAGTCTGCGCCTAAGGATACTAGTTTCCGCAACGGTGTCCTGCGTGCGCCTGAGGAGCTCAGTTTCCACAACGGTGTGGTCTGCACCTAGGGATCCTAGTTTCCACAACAGTGTCGATGGCTGTGCTCATCTCTTCTACCCCCACCTCCTTGTGTGAGCCAGCTTTCTGGTCTTGTGGCGCCTCCTTTTTCAGTTTTTTTTCTATTCCTGTCCTCCATCACGAGCACACGCAGGAATGCGCTCAAGCCGGGCCGGGGCAAGGACCCTGCAAGAAGGAAGCCTCCAGAAACTAGACCCAGCCTGCAACTGCGCTACAAGGTCTGAAGCTATGGGCCTGGCCCCTAGAAGCCGGTGCCCTCAGGGTCCGCCCTGCAGCCTCGGGGGTTCTCAGACAGGGAAGGGTTTGCAGTTCATGAAGCCACGCAGACTCCCGCTGAGACCCCAGTGGCTGGTGACGCTGGACAGTTGCCGTTGGCTGTAAGTGTTTAAGCTAATCTGACTTCCAGTGGAAACAATGGCAGCCCGCAGGCGGTGCAGAGCTTGGTCCCTGCAAGAAGGAAAGTGAGAGAGGTGAGCCCTGGGCCGCCAGGCAGCT